TTATTAGTAATAAATATTAATTTATTACACTTTACGCGTGTCTATCTATTCCTAAATATGTGACAAATTCTTTGTTACGCATATTTATTAGTTTGTAAGCTTCTTTGCTTCTTTATGTAAGTTTATTCGTTTTCTAATGTTTTCTTAGTTCTTAAAAATTATGCATTTGATTGGTTAATTATCACGGAAACTCACAGGTAGATCTACAAAAATTGACCAATTAAATGAATGTCTTCCTATGAGTTTGTATATGTTTCATTTCAAGACTTTCTAGATTTTGGTATCCTTTCCACATATCTGAGTATATAGTTGAACCAGGTCTTATATATTGTTTTATAACTTTTGTAAGTGTTTCAACATCACGATTTTTAACAACAACAAAAAAACATTTTTTTCTTTTGTACGTTCAATTCCGCCTACAATCCAGAAATCATTAAAAAGAGATTCATCAATCTCAACTATTATTCTAGAACCTTCAATAAAAGTATTATCTAGTGTCAATGAATTAATAGCTAGATTTCTAAAATCTTTAATAAAATTACAAATAGTGATTCTAGCGATGTTTGTTATTTTATGAATTTGTTGAATTTTAAGTTTATGAATCCATAGATATCCTATAAAAAGAATATTATTACATTTCAATCTATGTTGTGAAAAAAAAGTGTTTTTAAACACAGTAACCATCTTTTTACAATCCGAATTTCTAAAACATTTTCTTTAAGATAAAGATATATTTCTCCATTACAAAAATGACATTTTCAGGTTTTTGAATAATTTTTTCTTCAATTAAAAATTTTAGACATTCTTTTTCTTCAAAGAAAAGTTTATATAGTGTTTGTAAATTTTGATTATTCATTTTTATTTTTATTAATAGATAAGTTTACGTTTATTTATATTGTAATTATTTATATTATATCATGTGATTTTTTTTAATCAAGATTATCATTTTTTTATTTCTATTTTAAATCAAGATTATCTTTTTTTAACAATAAACATAACAAACGCCCACTTTTTTTTTAAAAAAAATAAAATAATTTCTTTTTTTTATAAACAAACGAAACTTTTAAGAGTTAGTATTTTTTCTTTTTATTATTTATTAATTATATATGATTAGAATAATTGCACTTGTTAAAAACATACTCTTTTAATCATTTTAATTATAAAAGTTATCAGTTTTTTATCTTGATTATCAATATTATTTTTAGCATTTTTCTTTTGCCAGCTTTCGTTTTTTATATTTTTAACTATGATATATGTTATATATTTTGTTTTTTTTTATTTTTAAATAAAAAAAAACTAATATTATCTATGTTTTATAGATATCTTTACAAGAAAGTATCGATGAAGTTATCGAAAAAAGTCATGAGTTGCAAGGTTCTTTACTTGCTATACGAAAAGAAGTAACTAAGTTTCAATCTAAATACGAGTTATGTGATAACCTTAAAGCTCAATTCGAAAAAATTAAATTTGCGGTTAAAATCAAAATTTATATGATGCTGTTATGTCTATGAAAAAAGAAGGTGAAGAGTTCAAGAATAAATACTATAAGTTAAATACCAAGTATAACAAAATAGTCGAACTATATGGAGAAATTACAGACTTTTTTTTGTTCTTTTAATGTTTTTATTTTTTTTTAAAAAAATTATATAGTTTTTTTTTGTTTTTTTGTTTTTTTTATATTTTTAATAAATTCAAATATGTTTTTTATGTATACGTTTGTTAACATTTGGCTTTTTACAAATGCTACAATGAACTGTTCATTTTTTTTATATCTTTTATGTTCTGGATATGTTCGTTTATTAAATTCTACTTTTTTACATATAGAGCAGCTTCGTCTTGTTGGTTATTTTGTTTCAACAAAAACAAGAATTAGTAAACAGAAAAAAAAATAAAATAAAATTTTTTTCAATTTCATTTTTTTTAAAGAAAAAAAGTATGTAAAGAGTACTGTAATTATATTTATATTTATTTAAATATTAATTAAATATATTTTTTTTATTTTTTTTTTATTTTTTATTTATTTTTTTATTGGTTAAGGAGACCTCTTTGGCCTGAAAGCTTTTATTAGGATTTGAAACGGTGTTTTATATGCAATTA